GCTACGTCATCGACCGGCGCCAGGGCAACACCGGCGGCCGCGGCGGGCTGCTGGGACCCTTGTACGCCATCGGCAAGGGCTTCCCGTTCCCGGAGGCGCAGCCCTATGACGCTTGGGGCAGCAATTTTTGGGTTGATTTCAAGGATGGGGAAATGCTGGGTTCATGGCTGGTTTATTGGGTTTCATGGATGGGTGATTGGTGTTTCTTCTTGTTTATTCGTGTGCACTTGTGTTTATTTGAAGTTTGTTGAGGTTGGATATCCAAACATGTGTATGTATATATATATACTTTGGAGGATTAATCAAGCTTATCCGGAAAATAGGGATTGAAGAGATCAAAATGAAGAATTTGTGGGCTTTAAGTAGCTGGAACTTGAAGTAGGTGGAAATCATGGTTTAGCCAATCTATAAATGGTGTGAAATGGGAAGTCAAAAGTGAACGCTGGCATGTTAACCAACCAAAATTCCGTGATTTAGGGTTTAACCAACACAGGTGAGGCCGCAACAGACATGGCTATTTGAACCAATGGAAGAATAGGGACAATTGCATAAGCCATCTTGACATACACAGTATTGTATGGTATGACATGTGTAATGACCATGGAATCGATACAGCTGAATTTGGATCTTTGCAGTATTAATTTTTGCCTTACATTACTGCACAAGTGTATCCCATAGTCATGTTAGAAGTTATTGCACGGTATCCCATGTCAGCTGTAATGACTTCATACAGCCAAATTATCTAATCTAACTGGTACGCTCTATGTACATATATACATATATACAGATTTATATATATATATATGTGTGTGTATTTATTTATTATTTATTTTGATTATATAGCGAAAACTGAGCTAGCGAAAACTGAGCTGCTCTCCACTAATCCACTAGCCTCATGCCCATATATGACATCATTAATTCTTTTGATCCAAAACCATAATGCTACCATGGTGGGGTAGCCCCATGACTTAGGAAACCCCCACTTCACCAACCACTGTCGCTTCTCTTCAAGGAATGGTCCTGGCAGCGCAAGCTCTTCACCTGGCTGGGCGAACTGCTGGCCGGCGCCGGGCCCAAGTGACGACGTGGCTGTTGAGCGCAAAAAACACGAAGGCATGGGAACAAAAATGGAGGCAAAGGAAAACTGTGAAGAATTATGAAGATTTCGAAGTGATTTGTGGAACCCATATCAAATAGGAAATTGAGAAAACGGTCCATTCATCCGCTTAAGGGAATAAAACGTATCCGGATTTATGGAGAGTTTGGCTAGTGAAATCCATATTATGTAATCCAGATCAAAGTGATGTAACCATCCAAACTGTGGACAGGGATTTGAACAACGACACCATATGTGGAAACCATGTGGAAAATAAACCACCAAATAGGGAGGTGCTGAGATACAGAACACAAGGGCTTTGAACTTTGATCTGCAGTTGAACTGCAGCAGGTCGGTCTGCGTGGGTTTCATCGTAGGCAAAAAGATGATGAAAGGAAAAGAAACGTGCTGAAACTGTTTCTGCTGATTCAAAGGCATGCTAGCAGCTGGGATAGTTTGTCATCACAAGAGATGGGATTTGATATGCAACATCACGGGATTATCATGGATAGTGCGTTTGCAAACCAAAAAACGGATAAATTCGAAGTGTCAGGCGAGAATTGCTTCATCCTGGACCGTTTCCAGATTCCAGCAATGCATCTGCCAGATGAAATAGTATGGTTTTGAGTAATGTAGAAGTTGTTTTTCGGAGTGGAACTGGTATACGCCGACGTACTTTAAGATAGCCATAGAAAATTGCCAATGTTTAATGGCCATGTTGGATTACCGGCAGCCTTTGAGATCGCTGCAAAAGCCAGCGATGAATCATGTTTTTCAATGCACGTATGTCCCAGAAACGGATTATGTCACAGTCCTTTGGTTTACCATTGATGTTAGCTTTGCTGGTCGGTGGTTTCATATTTTCAACTATACTTGGGATGATGATTCAGATAGGTTGAAACCACCAATCCATAGAAGATCTCCGTGTTTGTCACGTTTGTCACGTTGGTTACCTGGTGAACCAGAATCCAGCAATGCTGTGATGGAAAACAGCCAGCAGAACACCGTTGACAATACCGCTAACGGTGGGATATAATCGGACAACTCATCTTGAACATGCGGATGTCATGGTGAGTATGGTGATATAACACTCCTATTTGATGTAATGTGTGTGTGCGTCTGAAAGTTAAATAGGGCACAGCCCTCCCCGAAATTGGCAATCATGAGGAGCATGAGGTTCTAAACCAGTGGATGGAATGGTGTTTTCCATACCTTGACGAACCCGATGTCAAAAAGGTGAAGTTTGAGATGTTTCAAGCAAACACAAGATATGGAAGGTATGGGATGGTTTCCCCAGAAATCGCAAGTCGATGGTCTTCCCAGTTTGTAATCATGACGCATAATCATATCTTGAACGGAGTTTGTTTCTCTCAATCTTTGTCTACATTGAAGCAGAGCTTGGAACCAATTGTTTTCATCCCTAAAATCACCTCTCGTCTGTACAAGTTTGGTTCCCGCCTCGCTTTTGGGACGCACCGAAATTGTGGATCGGTTCGATAGATTTACCGTAGAAAGTAGGGACTCCATTGGCACAAAAAGCTGGGGGGACTGAAGGGCCGCAAATGGTGAAGCTTAGTCGGCAAATGATGTGGATGGTTAGCGACGACAATGATGATCGTAAATCATAATGATGGTTCAAATAAACAATGCTTAGCCAATGATGATTTTTAGCCAACTAATATTGCGGTAAAGATAAACAATCTCCCGATTTCTGTTGGAGGTACCTGCTAGTTGGGAAAGTATTTCAAAGATGATTGATCCAAATTGATCTGATGCGAACCATGAGGATACACATGGGTCCTCTATTTGTGATGACAATGTTAGTATAGCAATGTCATAAACCACCCAGATGGTTCATAGCCACAACGATGGTGAATTTGAGGGTGGTCGATGTCTGAAATCCCCATTGCTTAGAAGCTCATGTTCCCCATGGCCATTTTTATATCATTTCATGAGTATCAATGGTGTATCACCCACTTTCAAATACTCCCATAGATTACCCACCACCAACCATGTCTTGAGCGGCTCGTTATTTCTTACAAAAAAGGCCGGATCATTCTCCCTGGGCCAAGTCAGAAGGTCTGCCACCACATATTTTGGCTCTGCATCAGGTGTTCCCAAACACCCGAGCCATTGGAACTCATCACATGGAATAGATCAGCCATTTATGGACAGATGGGTTCTTAAAAACATCAACAGCTTCTGAGATATCAACCAACCATAAAATCCTATGACGACCGCAACCAAGTTGTGGATGTAAAAAAGTATTGCGTTCACCTGTCGTACTGCTTGTTTGGCAGATGATGCACACCCAGTTTGCCAGAAATACTAGGACATTTTGGGGCAGCACAGAACCTACCAAAACGCCGGCGAAAGAATCATTAAGATTAAACTAGATTAAGATGTTAATGTTTCAAACATTTTCGAACTAATTTACCGACATAGGAAGCATCATTTTTGGCCAGCTATCGTTGCTCCGCTGTGATGGAAGGGAAGACCGCCATCGCGGCCTATGCCCAGGCACCTCGCAACGGAAGGTGAAGAAATTAGGCGTTGATGTGCTGCAAAAGTTGGGATTTAATGATATGTTTTAGTAACTTCATGGGATTTTATCATGATTTTCAGTGGGTTTTACAATGATTTCATGGGGTATGAAGGGAAATATATATATATGTTAACAAAAGGGAAATCTCCTATGAATGGAGGTTTAGATGTTAAAATCAACTATAAATGCTGGATTTCCCATTGCCACGTTTGGGTACCCACCGGTAACTAGTTAGTAAATGGCTTAAACATGGAAAAATTTTATAATGATACACTTCTGGCATATCGTTTGGTGACTTGTTTCATATCATTTTTTGCTAACTGAACTATGATTTGATATCTATGATAAAATTTTATGATATGATATCTATATAGTATGACAATAGCCTTTTGTTGGTGAGAAATTGGTGGGAGATGATGTTGGAACGGGCTTTGATCAGCATTTATAGAAAAAAACGATGGGAAGACCACCTCCGATGGCTCAAAGCCTCATGTTGCCCCCACATGTTCAGACAGACCCGTATGATCAAAGGAAGTTTAGGAAGAAACTTCTGAGTTTCGAACGATTTGGTTTCCTCATTCGTTACCTCAATCATGACATTACATCACATCAACAATACATCACCTCGATCATTAAATAACCTCAACCAATAAAATACATCCCTTCAACCGTTGCATCACGTTCATCTACATACAATGAGTTACATCGCTGCATCACCTCAATACACCTCAATACATTACCGTACCACCATATAGTCATTGCATAACCCCATGAATCCCCATTAAACACCATATAATCCAGACCTGGGCGCCAGCGAAGGCCTGGTGTCTCTATGTTTGGGTCCCGGGCATCGATGGTTTGCTGGGCGGTCAGGGTGCCGTGGATTCGCGGCCCTTGGGACCTGCAGATGTCGCTGGGACGATGGGATGATGGGATGGCCACTGGTCAATATTTAGTTAATATGGGTTCGTTCATCTTAGTTCATCTTCGGTCATCTTAGTTCATTTTTCAGGTTAGTTAATCAACGTGGAGAAAATGGGAGATATTGGGTTGAGAACTGGGCATTATAATGATGGATTTTTGACGGGGTTTAACTCATCATTTTCACCCAATGGGATGGTACACTGGGATAATTTGCTGCCATGGTGAATGATCATGATATTTGGGTGAACATTGAATGGGAGTTCACCAACTATACTGTTTGGGTGAAAACCTACCAGATCTTGTAGTTGCAAGCAGCAAAGCACGGAAATTGAGCCAACCAAAAAAACATAGCTGACATTTTTGGGTTGCTTGATGACACAATTAGTTATGTGCCAAACTGACCCCTCTAGGTTGTCCAAAAGGGCATCCTCAGTTGTGGTTGTTGCTGACTTTGCATCTTCAAAAATTGAGGGATCTTAGCACAGCACCCATAAAGTTATGTATGCTGGTTTATAATCACCCGTCGAACTGTAGATATATCCATCATAAACCCAACTAACTTCAATTTGTTTGGGGTTGGGTTCGCGCGCGTGCAGGAGGCTTCCATTTTATTCCCAACAATCGCGCGCGAACCCAAGCAAGGAAACCCGTTGCGTAAGCCCAACTAACCAATTAAGAATCAAGTTCTCTCTCCAGGCAGCCCCTTCCCCGCAGGAAACCTATGGATTCACCAACAATCGCTCATAAGCGTTGATTTAGCATCTATTGTTGAGGGGTCAGAGTGGGAAATCACTTTTGGGGGGTTGGCTGAATCACCATGAAAGTGAAAATTGAAGAAATGGCATCACTGTCCTTGTCATATCTTATTTTCCCATGAAAAATTGAGACGTTGAGATGGTTTGAGGTTCCCACGTCAAGAAACCTCCAAATTGACTCAGTTGATAATCCCTTGAACCCGTGGCCAGCAGGTGAGTCCGATCCACTGAAGTTGGTATCGGGCACCCATGTAGTTGGCATTGAAATCGGGATGTAGCGAGATGTTATTTTCTGATTATTTCTCAGTCCGGAGAAACGCAGCCAGATATCGATTTGGATATCGATCCCTATCAGATCGAAATAGCTGGTTGCTGACGTTCATCCTTGCAATTGTGTCATGCGTTTGAATCCATCCCAATTTATGAACATATAGATAATTCATTGTAGAAAGTATGTTTGGTAGCTAACATGGGTGGGACAAGCATTTGCAAATGGAAACCTAGAACTACTTGCACCACTTTATGCGTGTTCATGGCCCTCTTTTTTTGCCGCATATTATTTGGGTAGAAAGTCGTCATGTCTATTTGATGTTTGCAGGGAAATCACCATGCCCATGCCATTGATGTTTCTTGTCGACGGTGCGCTCGTTGATGGCAAGAAACTCAGCAAACATCATATGTGGATTGTAGTTTGCAAATTGCTTCATCAGAACTTTCTTGAGTTTTCTTGAAATATCTAACTACAACTTACATGCATTTCAGCCAATGCCGCAATGGAGGTGTGTTTTCTGTCAGGTGCGACTCTGGCAACCCTTGCCCCGGATGAATTCGAAGGAAAGATTGCAAAGGCTGTGAAACAAGCCTTGGCAGTTCAGATTGGTGTCACCAGATTCAAACAACGACTCTTCGACGAAGATGGTTCTGAGATCCCGGATGATGAGGTGTTTACCTCCGCTCCAATGAAGCTTCACATGGTGGTATTGGATTTTTACCCAGCTGATGCCCAACAAAACCAACAAGCCATCTCTGCATCTAAGTACAATGATTTGATCGCCCTGGAAAAGTTCCTCAATAGCCCTTCCAACCCAATGTCACAGATGAACGTGACAACACGCCATTGCACTATGCTGCCGGGAGCGAACATGTTGAAAGCATGCTGCTGTTGCTTGAGGCAGGTGCTGAAAAAGACCCACCAGGAAATCAAACGATGACGCCACTGCATTTGGCAGCTATGCATGGCCACGTTGATGCTGTCCGCCATTTGGTGGAAGCTGGTGCTGACAAAGATCAAGCACAGAAGAGCGGTGCAACACCATTGTACATTGCAGCTGAGAGGGGCCATCTGGATGTTGCGCGTCATTTGGTGGAAGCTGGTGCTGACAAAGATCAAGCACAGAATAGCGGTGCAACACCATTGTTCATTGCAGCGGAGAGGGGCCATCTGGATGTTGTCCGTCATTTGGTGGAAGTTGGTGCTCACAAAGATCAAGCACCGAATAACGGTGCAACACCATTGTACATTGCAGCTAGCAAGGGCCATCTTGATGTTGTCTGTCATTTGGTGGAAGTTGGTGCTGACAAAGATCAAGCACCGAATAGCGGTGCAACACCATTGTTCATTGCAGCTCAGAATGGCCATCTTGATGTTGTCCGTCATTTGGTGGAAATTGGTGCTAGCAAAGATCAAGCACAGAATGAGGGTGCAACACCATTGTATATTTCAGCTTGCAACGGCCATATTGATGTCGTCCGTCATTTGGTGGAAGCTGGTGCTGACAAAGATCAAGCACAGAATAGCGGTGCAACACCATTGTACAGTGCAGCTGAGAGGGGCCATCTGGATGTTGTCCGTCATTTGGTGGAAGTTGGTGCTGACAAAGATCAAGCACAGAATCAGGATGCAACACCATTGCGCATTGCAGCTCAGAATGGCCATCTTGATGTTGTCCGTCATTTGGTGGAAGTTGGTGCTCACAAAGATCAAGCACCGAATAACGGTGCAACACCATTGTACATTGCAGCTAGCAAGGGCCATCTTGATGTTGTCCGTCATTTGGTGGAAGTTGGTGCTGACAAAGATCAAGCACAGAATAGCGGTGCAACACCTTTGTTTATTGCAGCTTGCAACGGCCATCTTGATGTTGTCCGTCATTTGGTGGAAGTTGGTGCTGACAAAGATCGAGCAGAGAACAGCGGTGCAACACCATTGTACATTGCAGCTCAGACCGGCCATCTTGATGTTGTCCGTCATTTGGTGGAAGTTGGTGCCGACAAAGATCAAGCACAGAATCAGGGCGCATCACCATTGTATATTTCAGCTTGCAACGGCCATCTTGATGTCGTCCGTCATTTGTTGGAAGTTGGTGCTGACAAAGATCGAGCAGAGACTATCCACCGCTAGTCTCTGCTCGATCTTTGTCAGCACCAACTTCCACCAAATGACGGAATTGTACATTTCAGCTTGCAACAGCCATCTTGATGTTGGCCGTCATTTGGTGGCAGTTGATGCTGACAAAGATCAAGCAGAGAATAGCGGAGAAACGCCATTGCACATTGCAGCTCAGAACGGCAAGCTTGAAGTTGTCCGTCATTTGGTGGAAGTTGGTGCTGACAAAGATCAAGCAGAGAACAGCGGAGAAACTCCATTGTACATTGCAGCTGAATGTGGCCATCTTGATGTTGTCCGTCATTTGGTGGAAGTTGGTGCTGACAAAGATCAAGCAGAGAACAGCGGAGAAACTCCATTGTACATTGCAGCTGAATGTGGCCATCTTGATGTTGTCCGTCATTTGGTGGAAGTTGGTGCTGACAAAGATCAAGCACATAATGAGGGTGCAACACCTTTGTACATTGCAGCTCAGAACGGCTATCATAACCGTTCTGAGCTGCAATGTACCCGGTTATCTTGATGTTGTCCATGATTTGGTGGAAGTTGGTGCTGACAAAGATCAAGCACATAATGAGGGTGCAACACGTTTGTACATTGCAGCTCAGAACGGTTATCATAACCGTTCTGAGCTGCAATGTACCCGGTTATCTTGATGTTGTCCATGATTTGGTGGAAGTTGGTGCTGACAAAGATCAAGCACAGAATCGGGGTGCAACACCATTGCACATTGCAACTCAGAACGGCCATCTTCATGCTGTCCGCCAGTAACCGGTTCCGTAGGGGCTTCGTTTCTGACGATGTGCCTGTCAAAAGTGATGGCTTTATTAGAATGGTTAGATTGCCATAGGGTATACCACTTCCACTATTGTTGGTTATACGATCATACCCCCATTATTCTTCGGCAATAGGCATATTCGCGAATTGGAAAGAGGAAAAGCACAGGATACCCTAAGCAATTTCGTGGGTACAAGCCATAAACCAACCCATTGAATCCCAGCAAACCTAATTAAAGCGAGTTAGATCACGTTAAATCCGCCCGCACCGAAGGTGCTGGGGCGTGATCGTCCGGATGGCACTCGTAAAAGGTTACAGGTTTACCTGGGGGGGGGGGGGCATTTTTCGGCCAAAACCTCCTGTTTTTGATAGGTCGTGACGCTTGCTTCAAAAAACACTGTAAAAAACAGTACGGAAGACACCTGTTCGTGAACGCGCCCGTCCAAAATCGGCAAGCGAAAAGTGAAAAAAACCGTGTTTTTCAACTTTTTGACCTCAATTTTTTGGTTTGCAACATCTTTTTTTGCGGTTCCGCAGGTGGCCTGGCCCGGAGGCGGATTTTTGAGTTTTTGGACCCGTTTTCGGACTGATTTTCGTCGTTTTGTGATAGCAGAAACACTGGTTTTTACAGTGTTTTTCTGTTTTCTGCATGCTTGACGGCTAGCTTCAAAACTTCCAAAAACCTCGTAAATTACGCTGTTTTATGTTACGGTGTGAATGAAAACATCGTAAATACCAGTGTTTTTTGACGTTGGTTAAAAAAACACTGTAAATTACAGTGTTTTTGGCCACCTGACCCTCAAAAACCATGGTATTTGCAGTGGTTTCTGCTTCTCACCGCGCAAAAACACTGTAAATAACAGCAATTTCGCCGTTTTTTCATGTTTTTCGTTATTTTTGAACTGCGTTGGTCCGCTATACATGGCTATCAAATTCTTCGCGTTTTTTTTCCGACAATCAGTACTTTCGGATGTTTTTGGTCTCAATGGCCGACATCATTGGCAGTTACGATGCGGTGCGGGCGGTTGCCGTCGCGAAGCGACGTGAATACTCAATCCCATTAAGTCCCATTTAATTTTTATGATTGGCTTTATCAGTTCCCTATTTCAGCAACACAACGCTGAACCTGGTGAACCTCCAAGCAGTGCTTTACCTCGATGCTGAGGTTGTGCTGCTTCCATTGACACTTCTCGGTGCCATTTCTTCGTCCGCAGATTTCAGTGCTCTTCCACTGCTGGCGGCGCATGCCTTGAAGTGTCTTGGACTCCATGGATGTGAAGGGAAACGTGACACAATAGATTACTGGTTGGTGGTCTGGAACATTTTCCATATATTGGAAATAATCATCCCGACTGACTAATATTTTTCAGAGGGGTTGAAACCACCAACCAGCTTATCGAAGGAAGTTTAGAAGTCAAACTTCCGACAATATGGACAGATGAAAAGCAGAGCAGGGAAGAGGCAGAGAGAAGAGAAAGATTAGAAGAAAGAAGAGTAAGAAGAAAGAAGATGCAGAT